AAATCGTCTTTGTTAGAGTTAAGTGTAATCAAATAAGACAATGTTAAGTATGAATTTTAGGCGATTTATGTCACTGACGAATTGTAATTCTGAGAATTTCCTGATGGACAACCTGTGGAAGCTGCATGAATGGCAAGTTCCAAGATATCCTTACCATTTTCATCTAGAGTTAGATCCTCCAGCCTAGTGATTACTGCTCAAATCTCGGTTCTTATAAAATTCTCTCTCTGCCTTTCACGTGTGATCTTCTCGTGAATGAAATCAGCGAAATGTGCACATTTCTTCGAACCCAGAACATGTACACGTCCGTCTAATTTCTTCCAAATTATAAATGCTGTAGTAGCATCCGTTTTGACTCAGAACAAAGTCATATGAATAACATTGAATAAACATAACGGTAAAACTCTGCTTTAAACAAAGTGACCGGATGTGCAGTGCTGTGTAATGACACCTTTCACAACATCACGCATCACGGAGAAGTCGACCTGCGATCAAATGACGAAGTCTATCTGTGGCACTATCTTCACACATTAGTGTTTCCTTTTGATAGCACATCATTTACCTCTGTCACTGTGTCCAACCAAATAAGGATCACTGTCAGTTTGATGAGTAATTCCGAGAGATGAGGTGTTGACATGTTCATCTCTAAGACAAGACAACAGTATTCTCAGTGCAGTCATTATTAACTTCCATTCTTAAATTCCACATATGTCTAGTATGACTACGGACAAACAACTGTAGCTGAGAGTAAGAGAGAGCGTTTCCCACACATTTGATTTCTTCACAATAATCAAGCATACTTCACCTCTCACAGCCCTCATTGCCTCTTTACACATTACACGACTTTGTTATTTTATATGAGGGAATTTGACACAAGTGTGTCTGAAATCCTTATGGCAAGCAATTATTTCGACTACTATCTTCTTTGCATTCTTACCATCAGTGTACGGAAGATGGACGGCCTGCAAAATTTGGGCTACCAATATCACATGCTGAAAATTCCATACGTGTACCAAAAATACGGTGTTGAATCAAGCTGTAATGAAAAATTATATATATATATATATATATAACCACTGGATCGCAATAGCCGATGTTTAAGACTTTGTTTTAACGTGTTCATATACGGACTAGCTCCAACGACATTTTGCTCTTCTCCCTTGTGCTGCCCTCATTCACATACTTTCAGTTCGTAATACAGCCATATTCGTCAGATGAATCCTACATCTCTTCCCATGTATAATCTCGACCCTATATTTTACTCAAAGATACTGCTAAGCAGAGCACATTTCCAATTAACTAAGTCTTTATATTTGTGTTTTGTCGTCTGTACTTACAGGTTAGATAGAGTACTGATCCATTTGGGTACACAGATAAAGTGGTTTTAGTAAGGCCTAGTAGACTGTATCTTACCAACAGCACCACCAGTACCTCACACACCCAGCAAACATCTAATAGTGTAAACACAGCAAGTCAGATAGATGGACTGAAGGTGGTTTACATAGGACTAGTATGACTATCCTAGAAGTACTTTTAGTTGCAACAGTGGAAATAACTAACTCTACCAACATTTTCATAATTTAAACTTTTTGTTAGGTACTTTACTCTTTTGTGTGCGTTGACCTAAAACTTTCACTCTGTCATCCGTTGTTTGCTACATTCCTTTTGTTAATTAGAATATCATATTTCTAATGTTAACTTATATCTGTTATTGATATTATTTTATCATAATTCTTTTTGACACTGAGATTTTATTTTAATTCAGGGGCCTAATTAGTGAGTTATTTTTGCAACTATTGCTATTCATACTTGAGGTATTCCTCTTCAATTCTGGATCTCACACAAACACGATAGAAATATTTAATAGTGCTGTTGTTTGCCGTGTTTAGCGATGGGGAGGCGCATTCCTAAGTATAGTATAAATATCCAGTGAAGACTTAGATTGCCATTGAATTCAATTATAGCAAAAGTTTCAGAATGAACACCTACATCTCATTCTTATATTTCACAGCTTTGTTTGCAGTTGTTTACTCAGGTAAGCTTTCTACAAGTGTTTTGATCGTCTTTTGTGCTGATTCACCTCATTACTTTTATGTTCACTTTGATGACAGTCAGTGAGAACAATGTGTTCCAAGTAGATGGCTGACTTTAGTGAACATATATTTGTATCTCATCTGACAGTTGGAAGTTGCTAGCGTGTTAGACTGCTTTCGTCATGGCCCAGTTGCGTTTATTGGTGCAGTGTTCTGAACGTTATTGTGATTTTGGTGGTGCAACAAAGATTGTTGATTACTTTCCCGCTTGTCTATCAAGCTTGCGACCAACGTGACAGTCTCATGGTAATGACATACTCTGCAGGCCAATATCACTAAAATAGGCTATTGTTCATCTCATGCGATATTACACAATGGCTGCAGCTCACCATTACTGGATGTCAATACGAGTGATACCATTCGGCATATGGTTGAGATGTTCACGGTTAGAGATTGGCGAATTCTGCCATTTCCCGACAACTTAAATCTAACACTTTAGTTATAAGCACTTGGCATCGAATGGCACATTCTGAATGTTTTCATCAAACGTTAAGATTGGTGCACCATGTGTGTCTGACAATGATGGCTGTACTCTTCATAGTATTAAACAGTGTTGCCAACACATCATGATCTCTCAGAATTTTTAAATTGCGATCAACTGAAATCCTTCCAAGTAGTTCAGTCTTGTCATCCTCACTGTCTGAACTCACAGTGCTTTGTTTGACGCTTCATCGGGTCGTTAGCCCACATCGTCTCAAACAGTTATCCACGGCTGCTCCACGTTCAGGAGATCTTCTGTCTGATGTCGGTCTATGGTGAGATCAGTAGAACCATTCAAATCCTTATGAACGAAATACAGAATTGATTTTGTGGAGTTTTCTAGTCTTTGTTGATCGTCAGTTAATTAAACTGATAGTACAATTAACTTGTTGAATTCACTATTGCTTTCTTATTTCACTTTTATTTTCCAAGTATCTCCTCCATACGGTTAGTTCCATATTGATATGATGCATCATCATATTTTATGTGACATTTGCGTTGCATCTTGGTTGATGAGGCATTCAATAACCTTGTCCTACTGCAGACTCCATAACCAGACATAAATGACTGGATAAATGATTATGACAAAACTCACTCGAATAGCTCCTTCTCGTTCTGTCTGTCTCTTGACTAGAACACAGACTATCAGACTTAGGTTGTGCTATAATATTTTTCTTACCTGAATAAATCGACTTTGATGAATTGGCAAATTGTCAAACTTATTTAAGTAAATGACTGCAGGTAATCAACTTCAAGGCGAACAAGATGTGAATTCCCTCACCTTCGGATTCTAAGATAACAATTCTACTGCTACTACTGCTACTACTACTACTAATAATAATAATTGTCTCAGCAAACTGATAGAGTATAGGAAGTGGTCGAGGTACACGCATACCTAAGTACAGCCTTGTTCTGGTTACACTGAGTAAAGAAATAATCATCAGTGTCTCACTGGTTTCACACGTTTTATGATCTGTCTATCATTCTACTATGTCTTATTTTTCAATATATCCTAGCTATTCATTTTGACAATTGATTTAAAAATTAACGATTTTCTAGAGGAAGAGTGGCAAAAAGTAATCAAAGTGACAATTCTCGGGTATTTGAAGAATGGAACATGTTACCAGGGTTGGTACACGGTACTAAAACATGAGGTTATAACGGAAATGAAGCCAAAAATATGTAATGCGGTAAGTAAACTAGAGTTTACATCTTTCAGTGCGTTTTATTATTTGTACGGTGACCGAGCCTGACCTGATGAATTCTAACTCAGTCTTCAAGTTTTGCTTATGCCGAATTCTTCAAGGATTCCGTTCTCTGGTTATGTGTTTATTTTAGTACGCACAAGATTTATAAGGCTATTAATTAGTTCCTACTTTTGCCACAATGTGACCTGAGGATTGAGTCGTTAACAGATATGTCTTTCCACTTAATTAACACTAAATCGTAACACCGGCTGTCAGAGGAACTAATCACTATTTCGTGTTTACAGATTGATCAACGTTTTGACGGCATTCTATCCAGACTTTCATTTGGCTCTGATTACTGTCGGACAGATATATTCAATGACCTACATCCAGATGGAGCTGTTCGTGTTTCTGTTGACTACCATATACCCGTTTATAAGCTGCGACGACTCAATAAAAAATTGTCGGTAGTTGATGTTTTGGGAATGTTCACCAAACATCTACTGGAGAGTCAAATATCCGATGAGTTTTCACAGAAGATAGAAGGTGAGTTTTCTTCTGATATTTTACACAAAACAATGGCTCCATATGTATTCAGGTGATTCCAATTTGTTTTTCCAGGACAAACGTTGTGAAAACTGACTCGACGTTCTTCTGCATTTGATAAATATCTGTGGAATTTATCGAGTAATCATTCCTAACCTTTCAGATAACACATTCATCACGTATCTTTGTAGAAGTTATTAATTCATGGTGAATGTCATTGCATGTAGTGATTGTTACCTACCAAAACGAGGAAACCGCTCTATGAAACGTTCTCCATCAGTTTGAATTGCCGGATAATCTGGACTTCATCCTCAATATTGAGCGAAGATTTGACATTCAGATGCTTATTCTGTAGAATACAGAGCTGAATCAACCAAACAAAGATGTTTCGTTACTTGACTTTCTGCCTAGTATTTATATATATACGTGAGATTCGTGGGCACTTACAATTGTCAAGATGTTTGCCTCATTGAAGTGGTGAAAAGAAGAAATTTTCTATTCACTTCTTCAATTATTAAGCAACAGTGTTGGAGTTTCACTAAGTTGACTTACTAAAACAATGATAGCCGTGTGCATAACATCTATGACTTTAAGTAGAATTTCTGCATAGAAAATCATGAATCAAAATTAACACATTTCTTTGTTCACAGTGAATGAATGTTATCTTTCCAATTGCTTGTTTCAAACATTCTAGTTTCGAATATACTGATAGGTGAGTTAATAAAATCCTGTTTTATTTCATCTAAGATTCAGAATTACCGATGCAGGATAAGCATTGATTAGTTTGTTGTAACTTCTCAATCCTGGAATTCTAAGCCTAAAGTTTTGAGCATAGTAGATTTCAGTCGACAAAATGCATACACGCTCAGTCACTGACACGTGGAGATTGTGCTACACTCTGCAATTCGTGTAAACTAATTACCTCGTTGAGATGAACTAATGAAGAGGACGAAGTGAAGACAGACGGTAAACAGAACGAACGTTCAAATATGATTGACGTTAGCAACTGGCAGTTACATAAAACTATTTTAAGAATATCAGATTACGTGCTTCAGCATAACCACTGGTTGATTTTTCTGTTTTATTATCGAAGAATCATCACAAGCTGCTCCACAGAGAATTGATTGTGTAGACTTATTTCGAATTCACTGATCGTCACCTAAGTAATTATTGCTTTCTAATTTCATTTTCATTTTCGAAGCATTTCCTAATCACGGTTAGTTTTATATTGTTGAGACACATGATCACATTTAGTATAACACTTGTATTATGTGATTAATTGCAAATGTGATGGGTGTGACTGACCGCTGTCAGTTAACCAGATGGTAATAAATGTAAAACAGCGCATCTCAAGAGAGTAGTCGAAATAATTCTTTGCTATGAGGAGTTAAGTCACACTTGTGTAACAATTTACCTATATAATGACAATGTCGTGTAATGTGTAAAGAGGCAATGAGGGCTGTGAGAGGTGAAGTATGCTTGATTATTGTGAAGAAATCACATCTCTTACTCTCAGCTACAGTTGTTTGTCCGTAGTCATACTAGACATATGTGGAATTTAAGAATGGAAGTTAATAATGACTGCACTGAGAATACTGTTGTCTTGTCTTAGAGATGAACATGTCAACACCTCATCTCTCGGAATTACTCATCAAACTGACAGTGATCCTTATTTGGTTGGACACAGTGACAGAGGTAAATGATGTGCTATCAAAAGGAAACACTAATGTGTGAAGATAGTGCCACAGATAGACTTCGTCATTTGATCGCAGGTCGACTTCTCCGTGATGCGTGATGTTGTGAAAGGTGTCATTACACAGCACTGCACATCCGGTCACTTTGTTTAAAGCAGAGTTTTACCGTTATGTTTATTCAATGTTATTCATATGACTTTGTTCTGAGTCAAAACGGATGCTACTACAGCATTTATAATTTGGAAGAAATTAGACGGACGTGTACATGTTCTGGGTTCGAAGAAATGTGCACATTTCGCTGATTTCATTCACGAGAAGATCACACGTGAAAGGCAGAGAGAGAATTTTATAAGAACCGAGATTTGAGCAGTAATCACTAGGCTGGAGGATCTAACTCTAGATGAAAATGGTAAGGATATCTTGGAACTTGCCATTCATGCAGCTTCCACAGGTTGTCCATCAGGAAATTCTCAGAATTACAATTCGTCAGTGACATAAATCGCCTAAAATTCATACTTAACATTGTCTTATTTGATTACACTTAACTCTAACAAAGACGATTTTATGCATTATGAAATGACGGAAAGAATTAGTTAGTCGGTTGCTTCTGGTATGTGTGATATCAACTACAGACATATTTCTCACTTTCGAATTCCGTACCAAATGTTCAACTTTCCTCTTTTTTTCGCTTACAGAAGCAGCTTCTTATAGACGGAGGGTAATGGGTGAGTGAATGAATCCGTGGGTAATATTTTGACCGAGAATTAGTGACTGTAGTGAGCAACCACCACATATTCCACTGGCTGCTCAGTCTAATCTTGAAGCGATCACGAGCGCGAACATTATGTTATGCATTCTATTCATATTTAGCTTTGCTAGTATTTACTGAAAGATCGAATTCCACAAAACACCTATAATCTCCATGAAACCGTTTTGTACGCTTCAGTCCCATTCCAATCGTCGTTTGACGTCGAAATATTAGCAATTGAAACTAAGACAATTAGAGTCATTCCAACGAATAGAAGTTATGTGGTCGACGAGCATTGTCACTGTGTCATTTCGAAGAAATATATGTGTTTGACAGAAGAAATAGCTAAACAAATAATAGTCAGTGCATGCAGATGTCATCTGAGTCATGTATGATAAGTGCGTTGAATCTTCGTTCACAGAAACATTTCGAGAAGTTACTCCTGAATACAAAACCAACAGCGTGATATGTATGAATATTTAGTTTATCGTTGTGATTGTTGTCTACGTGACAGTGTTACTGCATCAAGCTGATTTTGATGTCAAAGTGTGAGACGGGAAATGCTATGTGTCAATGTGTCATTTGTGTGAGTGAGAAGCATTGTACTTTCTTGGAGTTTGATAGGAATTTCCGATGGCAGAATGCAGCGAAGTGGACTAATTAGAAGGCCAGTTTCAAACTGTGTGTGACTGATGCATGCACACTGATTGTATTGAAAGCGTAAACACTAATAGAGCTTGTGAGCAGAATGTTAGCGTGAGGATCTTCGCTATCACAAATCAGACTTGCTACGCTTTCGTTTGAGCGTGCTTGCTTTAGTAGGAGGGTGGTGGTCTATCACAACTTGGATTTCTTCACGTAGTTGATTTTGCATTAGGGGTCTGAAGGAGAGTTGTGATGATATCAGATGTTACGTTTGACCATCTGATGGACGCAGAAATCAGTCTCTCATAGTATTTACTGCCGACTGTTAAATGACACTGCACGAAAAGATAATGGAAAGGAAAGAAAATGGCGTACAAGTATTCAGCTTCACTAATCTCGAAAATTTCTCAGCATTCCCAATCACATCCAGCTAACTATTCTCATATCTCTTATATTCATACACATACTGTTTCTGTTAACTATACAGGATAAATGAACAACTTAGATTTCCAAGTGATATCAGTCACTAAATATATATTCATATTAAATCTCTTTCTAGACCTCAAAACCAACTTGTGCGAACCTGTTCCATTTGACCACAACTACGATCCCAGAAAGGTTATATTCCTGGATGGGTACTAATGCACTGGTGAGACACGCAAAGTGGGCGATTAGACTTTCCTTTCTTTCTGTAGTTGAGATAGTCTCTTCACTTATTTTGATTAAATAAACTTAAATCTATCGTAGTAATAGTGACTTTGCTTTCAATATTACACACATATGCATTATTGAAAATACTCGTGTTCCAATTGGCCTTCTCCTTTCCTTACTTCTGACGTGTTCGAAAATAGAAGGAATATTGTTGTCTAAAGATAACAGCTCAACATCAACTCATTTAGGATTGAAATTTCCATGTGTGTGTCATCAAGGCGATAGTGTCTGTGAGTGGACGAACCGAAATATGACAGAGTTGTATGCATCAGAGGAAAGGTAATTTTCCTTAACACTCATAGTTCGTGCACGACGGATAGTTATCTTTATGCGAAATACTGTATTATCTCTGGTACCTCAATGAATGCCTCCATATTTCTCCTCGTCAACTTTCGAAAATGCATTTCCTTCCTCATATTTGCATTGTATGCGAAAGTATAGAAATTCACTACGAGGTGTTGTGATTTAGTGATTTATAATTCACTTGTTATGCATGTGTAGATGGAGAGTTGAAAATGAAATGATTGTTACAGCCTAACAATATTCCGCACAATTCCCACACGAAACGTTGGTGATTTCTCACTTCAACTGTGTAATTTCCAGTGGACGAACTCGGTTCTGTGTATTAACAGTTCACCAAGGCAGACAACTGGAATTCGGGCATTTTGAACCACTCAGAGTATCTGGCTTCAGTCAAACTGAGTACACTCCAACCACTGATGAGGTTGGAGTGGAACGAGCGAGACTGACGTCCGGTTTGTATATGACTTCAATCTGACTAGCGAGCACCACTGCTTGAATTGGATGCTTCCCAGCTACTCATATTCATCAGTCAGTAGTGTATGTGGCAAGTCAAATATTTCACTGTCAACATCGTTATCAATTATTCACGTTTGACAAGGCTTGTATTTCCCTCCAAACAGCATACATTGATACACACATGGATCAACAGCCTGATACTTTCTTTTCAGGGGACTGTCGTATTGCTTAGTGAAACCCATGTGTTCACTAGCTGATATGCACAAGTAACTAGGATTCATACATATGGAAATACACCGTTTGGCAATTGAACACAGGAAATTTACTCGCTGTATACTGACATCGGATTGTGAACAGGATGAGGGATGAGCGAGGAGGACTGCAGTAGTGATGATGCATCAGAAAATCTGCCGAATGTCAAACAGCTTGTAAGACACAGCAGTGTTCGTATTCTCCAAATATTCATCAAGCGAACTCAGGCATACAGCAATGACAAAAGTACAGTTGGTTATCATCCGTTGAATGAGAAGCAGCAGTAGAAGTAGATTAATGAATGTGGACATCACGTGCACATATATACTGGATTAGAAGGCAAACAAACAAGCCCATATCACTCACCGTCTCACAAACACACTGGACGTGAGCATGTAAGAATGCTCACAACTCACCACAGAAAGTGAATAATTATTTTGACTTGTCAATCTACCAGCACTGAAAGCTGGAGAAGTAATATCAAATCACTGGATGATTCATCAAAACTACGAACTTCCTTCTCCGCGTTATATCTGCTTTGTCTCCAAATCTCATCAATATAGGAACAATCTGTCGACTGTTTTACTCACTGCATTACACACGACCAGTCATAAATTACATTTAAATCAAATATACCAATGTCGGATGAATGCTGTATGCAGTGAAGCTCATAACACTAGACATGCCAGTTGTCATGAATTGGCACACTTCAAAGCTTTCCATGCACCACTGACGGATTCATCTATATGGTAAATTGCACCAAGTGTGTTTGTCAATGCAGATATCGCCTTCGTCTTCATATCCACCCACTAATAAGAGATCACTAGTCACGATGTCACGACATGCACTCATCCATGCTAATCCACAACTGCACACACCACTGCAACTGTAATATTGTAAATGCATAGAAGTGATGGAACAGAAGTAATGTCAGAGAATTGCAAAACGCCTAGAACTAATATCACCTTTTTATTAGCTAGCATTCAACAACCCTTGAAATTAATGTAAAGGATTCAGTCACCCTTCCCAATAGGAAAAATATCCGGGTATAATAATAATATTAATAATTTGCTTTATTCCAGAAACAGTGCTAGTGGTACAGTGTGGAATTTTCAGCACATATCTGCAATAATTTCATCTAATCTTATGCAACGTTTAGAGGGAGTATTTCAAAACAATATGTATAAAGACAATAACAGCAAAAAAACACAAATAGCAAAAATAATAAAACAAAATGCGAAATAATACCAAGAAGTAGAAAGGAAAATAAACAGCATATAATAGTATCTCAGTGTTGGGTAGTGGAAGCTATGATATGATTATGCATGGTGACAGTAAATCTGTAGTCATACAAGATGTTATGAAATGATATTTAAGAATGTTTATCGCCAAGAAGATCAGTTAATTTGGTTGAAACAACTCTAAACAATCATAAAATAACATTTCAGGGTTGTTGTTTTCTTTTTTATTGTCAGGTCTAATGCAGTGTTTGTAGTGGTAGTGTGAGTAATCCTGCATAATACAAAATTTTGATATGATGGTAATGGCGTTCACAACCAATGATTGTCAGTTAATATTGCCGAAAAAAATAGAAAAACAACCACAAAACTAATAATTACATGATGGTTAATGACAGGAAAATTTTGTAATACTCATAGCGCTAATATAGTCGGAACCAGTAGATACACAATAGAATTAATACAGTAAAGTACAAAAAAGTAGGCCAATGTTAATAATTTAAGTAGCTAAGTATGTTTAAGGAGGAGTTCACCATAGATTACAAAATAAGAGAGAAATAAAAGAGCCTAATATTATGTTATTAACAACAAAGCAAGTCATAGGTTTCACGCTTATCATTGTCTCTGTCACTTAGAACACGGGCCAAGTATGGTATCGTTGAGTTCCTGTACTTGGTTGTAAGAGCATAGATTATTTTATACTGATTTCTGGTTCTACCTGATGAGATACAAGGAGAGAGTTGGGAATAGAGGGGGTGTTGGGGGTCGGAGAGTATCGTTTCAGACCATTTTTCGCATGTATTCAGATGCCTTCCAACTAATGTAGTGACGAGCTGACTGAGTCTTGCACCACTAGTCCTACTAAGTACCTTCAACATCCTTCTCAGGATGGTATAGTCCTTTTTCAGTAGCCCAGGAAAGACTAACGGGGAGCAGTAAAGTAGAATAGGTAAGATACAAGAGTTGACAAATTGGGAGAGTAGAGGTTGGGTGATTCCAGATTGTCTAAGTTTCTTAATGTAGTAGATTAGACAGAACACTTTGTTAGAAATCGTTAGGATATGAGATGTCCAAGTAAGGTCGGAAGATAGAACTAAACCGAGGTATTTTACATTAGACTCAGTTTCAATTTTAGTCCCCTCAATGCAACAGGCTTCAAGAATACTTACTAGTGTTTGTAGATCTCGTTTATGCCTAAGGGAGAAGTCAATAGTCTGGCATTTTGAGGGATTCAGCATGAGACCATTTAGTTTAGACCACTCACTGATGTCCGACAGGAAGCTATTTAATTTGAAACAGTCTTACTGAGACTTATCGGCATATTTGACGAAGTTGATTTCGTCTGGAAGAGGTAGATCATGTAAGAAGAATGAAAAGAGCAACGGAGAGAGAACAGCACGCTGAGGAACTCGAGTAGGTTCCTAGGTGAACCGTTGGGCCGACAACTTCCAGATTGCGTCTTTCACTCTTCCCATGATCGAATTTGTGTACTCCAAGATCACGTCAGTCGAAACTATATGCACGAACTGCACACATACAATTCCCCTCAAGGCGAATTCCTAATTTGTGCGCTTCTCCAGAGTCTTGGCTGAAAGTGACTGTAATCTATTCGTCTTGAATTCGCTGACACTGTAATTGATAAGACTGAAATACACTGAATTTCAACAGTGTTATTTCTACCGTGATAAACATATTTGCAGTCAAATATGCAATATGCAATCGGTCTTCAATGTGCAGTTTAAAGTGACACCACTGTAGTACACCATGTATTATAAATTTAATGAGACTGAAAATGCATTTCATGCATTAACACTGAAAGCTGATGTTTGGATAACTAACACATACTCGAAATGACTAGCAAATATCTGACCACCAATTTACTGTCAACTGAGTTTTATTCCTTCTTCATAGGTAATAATGCTTTCACAACATTAATTGGGAAAACCACCCAGTATTTTTCATTTTCGGATTCATCAAATCACTGTCAAGATAAGAATCTTCTGTGACTTTGCAAATAAGAAATTATACTCAGCTGAAACCAATGCTGAAAAGTGATTCCCAGTATCAGGCTTCTTTAAGTAACACACATCTGCACTGTTCCACGCTAAAATTTACAACAGTATGAATTAGAAATTCGTAGTTATGGGCGTGCAGGAGTGGGAGTAATATTACTGGATGGTTAATTATACAAATGTTAATGATATCTCACTGAGGGAATATGTTCTATCGGATTCCGGTTGGCTGGTTTCGGTTGAGAATGCTTCGCCTCTCTTCTTTGTCAACATCCCTGGTAAGGACAATTTCACTTGACACAATGTATGTATGAGTAAAATGGGCAGCGTTACTACATAATACGTGTAGCGCATTCATATTCTCTGAGTAGACGTGTGACTAGCACCGTCGTCCAGAATTATTTAGAATAATTATGGCTGTCGAACTATACTGGTACATTCTCACGATAAGTTATGTTGATGATATGCTAAGATGTAAATCGAACTGCTCAATCTACGGTACACTCAATCATTTTCGAAACCAAAACAGTAGCTGCAGATAGATTTAGGAACAAGAAATCGACATTGGCTTCTTCAGTGTGCATCTGTGATTTCAAATGTCCCTGTGGAGCTATTGGTATAAAGAGAACACAAACGACTATATCGATGAGTGCAAGTGTATATGTACTCGTGTGATTAGATAAAGAAGGAGCTGACTCTAAGAACAATGCCGTTTTGTCCCGTGTGATGGATAAAACACACCACATTAACACAACAAAGGCCGAAATCAAACAAAAGGGATGTATATTCACTTCCTTTTCAAAGTTCGCGCGGTAGCCG